CTGCATACCAAGACAAGGATATAAAGAAGATGTGACTCTAATGGAGGGACCAGGAGGTTCTTAATTTCAAAGCACTAATATTTTAGTGATGTATGACGAATGCAATGATGTAAGAGGCCAATAATTTTGCCTCAGTTAGATGTATAACTAGATGTCTTCGGGTTAGAAGGGAGGATGAACGAATTTGGGCACTCAATTTGTGAGAAAGCCAAAAACCTACCGTTAATTTTGTATCAATTTCAAATATATCAATTCTACCAATTTGGAATAGATCATTCACATTCTAATCCTCTCAAATGGATATGAGTTTTTAAATCTTATTTCCCACAGAATCTTGAAAAATCTGATAGAGAATTTTCTTTCTTACTTTAGCAATAAATGAAGTTTTTCTTTAACAGAAGTCTAGAAATTTAATCCTTAGAAACAATACAGTGAGAGCAAGAAGCTAGAATAGCAAGGATCCCATGAAGGCAGGAAGCCGTTGAAAGGAGAGGTTTGCACATTCAGAGCTCGAAGGTCACTTAATTCTGAGGTTAGAAATCCAGACCAAAACTAAAGTAAAACTACTAATTTTCTGCTAAATTTAGAAAGAACTCTCTTAAGATTTTAAAGAATCCCAGTGATTAATTTTATGATATTTTATTATGATGTTAATAGTTTGATATGCCAGAATATACAGTTGAAGGATTAGATAGAATCTTGAAAAAATGTTCAGAAAAATAATGGACAATGATTTATTACTAGAAAATATGAATATGTTATCGGAAGAATAGGGTAATCTTAGAAAAGAAAATGATAAACATGTTATAAACTATTCTAATTTTTTAGATCATGGAATGAATCTATATATTATAATCCGAATAGAAGAAATAAAAGATAAAACTAAGTTTTTAAACTATCTTAAAAGGAAAAGACATATCATGCAATTTATAAAAAATTCATATCATTAAGGTTAGGGCTGCACAAAAAAATCGTGAAACCGCAAACCGAACCGAAACCGTTAGTTTGAAACCGTTGGTTTGGGTCCACGTGGACCTGCGGTTTTGTTTCCCTCAAACCCAACCAAACCGTTTCAAAATGATTTGGTTTAGGTTTCAATTTTCAAAAACCGCATAAAACCGAACCGAACCATTTTCAAAATTTTTAATTAAAAAATGAATTTTATTAACTTACAAATTTTCACGTTTTAGCAAAAAATATCAATTTAGCAATACAAATTACAACCAACCGATTGAAATAATCATATGATGTAAAGTAAGTACATCATTATTAGCCGATGGTTTTACAAGTCCACAACACACGTCGTAACCCGATATCTAATCTAAACTAAAATCAACCCCAAATCATATGAAATAAAAAAAAAAATTTTATTTTCAACAATCCAAATCATAATTCAACAAAACTACGACAATAAATCACGTCCACAACTTCAGAAGTCGTAACCTAAACTCTCATTTCTCAAACATTTGACGCTTACCTGCCACAATTGAACAAAATGTGATTCCCAATGGCAAATCGCTAGTCGCCGTTTGCTTGTTAGTCTGCCAATTCTACCCGAATCACCTCTTTCTCTCTTGATAAGTCTTAGATTCCTATTCTCGTCATTTTTTTCATTGTTCTTTCTTTCATTTGTTGTTTTTTAACTTATTATACATTTGAGAGTTCTGATTTAGATAAAAAAAAATAAAAAATGAATGTCTATGTGCATAGGTGATTAATGAACTTGTTTGTGGTTTAGAAAAAACAAAGGATAGAGTGTATTGATTGTGTGAAAATGTTATAGTACTACTACATTCTACTTTTTCAAAATCGTTAGAGAATAAAATTTGTCAATTTCCAATAAACATAAACTTTATCATTTTTTGTACATTTAAATATATCATGTTTAGTCCTTATTTTTCATCTCACTAGTAGGATAAAAGAAATTTTAACTAAACTATTACAGCAGAATGTGACTCTTATCTTTATCAACCGCTATATGATACTATGAAAAGCAAACAAGAATAGTAAATAAAAAGGAAAAAAGATATATTCGTTTTATTAACATCTTTTAACAACCAACTTTGAAAATAATTTATTCACGAGTGAGAAAGATGAATGTAATTTAACATTAAATATTATTCGTTCTCATTTAAACTTATATGTTAACTTATTTTAAATATGTTATTATAATGTCGATAGGTAAACCGCGAATTAAAATCGAACCAACCCGCAATTTATGGTTTGGTTTGGTTTGGTTCGAAAAATAAAATGGTTTGGTTTGGTTTGAAAAAAATTCAAACCACATGAAATGGTTTGAGTTGAAAATATGATCCAAATCGTCCAAATCGAACCGCGTTCACCCCTAATTATGGTAATATAAACTTTTCAATGAAAAATTTAAAAGGTTTAATCAATCCGGTCAAATTGAAAAATCTCCCATAAAAAACGCGCAAAATTTTCAACGGAGACCCCACTGGGCTCACTTCGTTTTCCCAACTGGTAAATCGCATCATCATTATCGTAATTCCTTTCCCCTTTGCATTTCATTTTCCTCCTTGACCCGAGGAAACCCTTTTTAGCCGCTGCTCCGTGCTAGGGTTTGGTTTCTCTTACTTTTAACTTTCGGTTGTGTTTATTTCCATTTTTACGCTACCTTGCAAGTTATTAATGATCTTCTCCGAGTTCTGGCAAATTTTTTTTGGAATTTGACGAGTTTTCAAGGTTTAAGGGGAAGAAAAGACGGGTACCTGGTATTTTGGTGGAAGGATTTTTTCTTTTCTTGAAAATTTGCGGTTGTGATTGGGTATTGTCTTGAATTTTGATTATTACTTCAGCTTTGGAATGATTTGAAAGAGGGGTCGCGTGTTCATTTGGAGATCTGGAACTGGTTTAAATCTAGTGGGATATTTTATTTCCGTTTTTATTTTAACTTGGTAGTTAGTATTTTTCTTCCCTGTGTCCTGGGATTAAGAAAAAGTGTAAATTTTTGGAATTTGAAAGTTTATCAAAGTTTAAAGGAAAAAGATACAGTCGTGATTCTGTATTATCTTGAATTTTGGATTGTTCGCTTAATCTTTGTAATGATTTGAAAGAGTGGTGACCATGTTCGATTTGAAGATCTAGAACTGCTTTAAATCTAGTGGGATATTTTATTCAGGAAGAATCGAGCTTTTGCATTGTTGAAGTAGAGTTGTTGACTTGAAAAGGGAAAATGGATAATTCAAATCTGCCTGGGCAGATGAATCGACAGATTGATCATTTGGGTGTGAACAAGATGGGAAAAAACATTAAGAAGAGTCCTTTACACCAGCCCAACTTTTCTGGCGCTGCTAGGCAACAGCCTCAACCACAGGTCTACAATATTAACAAGAATGATTTCCGTAATATAGTTCAGCAGCTCACTGGATCGCCTTCTCACGAACCTCCACCTAGACCTCCCCAAAACCCTCCCAAACCTGCAAGTAACCGATTACAGAGAATTCGGCCTCCTCCTTTGGCACAAATGAATCGACCTCGAATCCCAATTCATCCTCCTATGCCGATGCCAATGCCTGCACCAGCACACCCTGTAGGGCAGCTTCCTAACAACTTTGCAAGACCTCCTCCTCCTCCAGCCCAGTATGGCCAACCTTCACCACCTGTGTTCCCACCACCATTGACTCCTACTGATGTTTGGGCGAATACAGCTGAATCTCCTATATCAGCTTATATGCGCTACCTGCAAAATTCAATTGTCGATCCAGGTTTCCGACAACCCCAGCCTCAATATCAACCTCCCTTGCAACATCATGTTCCTGGTCAAAATCTAGCTCAGCCACCGGGTTCTGGTTTGCTTCCTAATCCTACCATGCAACTGGTCCCATCTCCAAGAATGAATGGTCGTCCATTCCTTCCTCCGTCACCTCGCATGAATGGTCCCTTACCCCCTCTTCCTTCCCCTCGGATGAATGGCCCTCCTCCCCTTTTACCGTCTCCTACTTCTCAGTTCCTTTTACCTTCACCAACTGGCTTCTTGAATTTGTTTTCTCCTCGATCACCTTATCCATTACTTTCTCCAGGGTATCAGCATCCTCCTGCACTGACTCCTAATTTCTCATTTTCTTCTGTGCCCCAATCTGGAATTTTAGGTCCTGGACCTCAGCTACCTCCTCCTCCTGGTTATGGGTTTCCTTTGTCACCTTCAGGGTTTTTCCCTCTACTAAGTCCTAGATGGAGGGATGAATATTCCTAAATGCACAAGCTACTGACTTGCAAGGGATACAAATACTATTATTTGTTATGACTTTCTTCACGTTGTGTCATTTCTTCTGTATCATAGCTTCTCCTATGGATTTGAATGTACACCCGGATGCAATGGTTCCTCGTGGAAGTATGCAGTCTTCGTTTTTGCTGTTATTTTGTGTGTTTGTACAGGCACCTTCTGATATGTGGATTCTGTAACAGTAACAATCTGTTTTTATCAGCTCAAAATGATTTACTCTAGGTGATATTCTGAAGATTGGGCAACTTCTGAATACTCTTGGGCGGCTGCAGCGTGTAAGCAGGTAGTATTATAGACTTTGCAGATTCATGTAGGCCAGCTGATGAAAAAGTATTTTTGCATTTTTGTAATATTGTTCATCTTACGGTTAGTCTGAGTTAAGATTCTTACTAGAGCACAAATTTTAAAGTTCTCACTTTGCTATTAAATTATTTTGCTTTTGAACATGAAGTTACATATTTAATCATCTTTATATATATATATATATATATTCTTGGTAAGCTGTGAATTTTCTTAGCTTATTGATAATTTGTCTTTCTGGTGATTCTCGTGGTGGTAACAACTGCCATTGCAATTAAAATTAAATTAGTTTTGTCTCTTGGATGGATATGTGGATGAGATAGATGGTAAAAATAGTTTATTTTTAGCATTTTACTTGTTGATATGTGTATTCATATTTTTATTCAATATAGGAAAATATATTACCGCTTCGGCAGTGGAATTGTTGTTTGGCTTGTGTGTTTCATAGACAAGGTTGGTCAAAAAACATTTGACAATTCTTGTCGTCTTTGACAAGAACCTCTGAAGGCACCTGTCCTTTTTGATTTAGCCTCCGTTTGGCAAATTTATAAATGGTTTATAAAGAGAAATAGTATTGAGTCCATGATTTGTATGGATAATAAATTAGTTATGAATGTGTTGTTGAAATTAATGAATGCTTGTTAATCTAGAGTTCAGGGCTCGTGGTATATTATTAGGGAGGTTGCGAATCTAAATACTCTCTTCCATGGTCAAAGATTTAGATTTATAATACATTTTGTAGGTAAAATTGCACCTTTGTCTTTATAACTAAGGTCAATTCTATTTTGGTCCCAAAGCTTAGCACTTCGATTTTGTCCTGTTACTTCAACTTCTTCAACCATTGAGGACAATAGTAGGTGGAAAGTGCATTTGAACACAAAAGGTTACTTGCGGAGCACTTGTGTCGATGCCTCTATCTTAAGCAAAACAAAGTTACCAGTACATTTCGTAGCCAAAAAAAATTACGAGCCTCAGTTAGGGATGGCAACGGTTTGGTTCAGTCAAAATCATAACTGTACCATCAAATTTTTGGTCGTACCATCAAATTTTTGGTCATACCATAATCACACCATAATTACGTAAGATGGTTAGGTTCGATTCGGCTCAGTTAGTATCTCGGTTCGATTTTTTGTTCTGTTCGGTTCGGTTAACAATCACGAAAATAAATTATTTTTTATAAATTCAAACTCCGTCAAATTGAAAAAAAAAAATTATGAAGAAAAGTCAATAAAAACAAAAACACAAAACAAAGTCAATTTAGCAAAGGATATTCCAATTTCAAAATGCAAAATTTGAATTTAACAAACAATATTATCAATATAGGTCAAGATTCTTATTAGTATAGATCAATCTTCGTTCTTTCCCACAACTCTTACTAGAATATGTCAAGAGTCAAGACTCAAAGTTGATTCCTATATAGTAAATAAAAAAAATGTAATTAGAGTTCTTTTAGCACTAGCCATTTATGGCCCTATTTCTTGAATTGCCTTCGATAAGACCAATAGTATTTATTTTCTTCATTTTCTAAGTGTAGCTCTTTGTAATAAGGATTGGATTGACTAATTCTAGAAGTTAAGAAGTTTATTTTCCTATATTCATCATCATCATTAGGGGCGGAGGAAGGGGCCAGGCTTGGCCCAAGCCCATTTAGATTATTATTATTTTTTGGGAACAATACATGGTTCCTACATTTCAAAATTATCAAACTTGTCAAATTATTTTAAAAATCAGGTGTTAATTTTAATTAATAATTTATTACTTTGTTTAGTGCACATTTTTCACATCATTAAAATGAGAAAACTGGGCCCTACATGTGAGGCAAGGTAAAAAATGACGGCTGGGCTTTAAACTAACCATAGAATATTTCATATTTTTGGATGAATAACATATAATTAATTAAAATTAATTGTCTCCACCCCCACATGACCCACCCACCCACACAAAAAAATGTCCAAAAATTAAAAACAGAAAATCCAACCCCCACCCACCCCACCCTATCCTACCCTACCCTACCCTACTTCACTTTCCAAAAAAATTTCAGAAAATTAAAAATGGGAAATCATACCCCCAGCCCCGGATCCACATACCCCAACCCCTCACCCCTACCTTCAACTCTCAAAATTTTTTTAAAAATTAAAAATTGGAGATTACACTCGCCCCCACTTCCATTTCAGAAAATTTTCAATTGTGACCAAAATTGTATTCGATGTGACTAATTGTGACCAAAATTGTATTCAATATAACTAATTGTGACCAAATTTATATTCAATGTGACCAATTGTGACTAATTGTGACCAATTGTGACTAATTGTGACTATCTGTGACCAAATAAATTTCAAGTCACAATTGGTCACAATTAATACAAATTTGGTCACAACTAGTCACAATCGATCACAATTAACACAAAATTGATCACAATAAACACAGAATAGCTGTTTGTGGGATTCAAGCACTTAGTTTTTAGTTCATAAAGGTTAATTAATAGACGAGGAAGCAGTTACTAAACTGTAAAAAAAAAAAAGGAAAAAAGGAACAAGAAGAAAAACACAGGCAGCCAATTGAGAAGTCAAAAACATCTCCTTCAAACATTATAATTTCACTTTTTGCAATATGTTTTCTCCTTTATACAGACTATTCAAATTTGCCAAACCAATTGGCTACGACAACTGCAAATATAAATCAATCTGCTTTCCCCAAGCCACCAACTCACCACCATAACCACCACCACAACCCATACACCACACCACAAATTTACAGATTCTCACAACCCCCCACCTCCACACCGCACACACCACTGTCACCACCACACCACACACAACACCCACTACAAACACCACCAGTTACCACCATAACACCCACACCACCGCACAGCACCCACTACACATGAGGCTCACTTTGGTTCCCCGTCTCAGCATGGGTCAAATACTCCGTCTTCAGCGCTGCCGTCTGCAACTCCTGTTGCTGTTGCTGGTGCGTCAACTGCTGCTTCTGCATCAACTGTTGTTGTAACAACATTTGCTGTTGCCTCCGCACCGCCGGTGGATTGTAAAATATGTCTCCCCCATGGCTCCGCGACACTGCGAAGCTTCCCTTACCTGATATTAGTAACTCTTAACAATTTAATTAAATTAAATTTTTGTGGGTATGTATACAATATACGGATTTTTGTGTTTTGGATTGGGGATTCTTCTTTAATGAATGAAGAATTGAAACAATCGGTGAATGGATATTGAATTGAAAGGAGTTTGGATTTGAACAATTCGGGTTTTTTGGGATAGGGCAGAGAGAGAGAGAGAGAGAGAGAGAGAGAGAGTGATGAAGGGTTATGGATGAATTGGGAAATTTGGGGGTTTTTGATAGGTTTAATTAAATTTTTAATAATTATAATTATAAAATAGAATTACCACCTGAATTTTGAAATGTAAACTTTATCACTTTGTTTTTGAAATGTAATGTTGAAAAGATAGGTTTGAGGTAATTTTCTTATGATAAAATTTCTACATGTACCTCAAAGATTTGGAAATTACAAAATGAACAATACATAATTCCTACATATAAAAATCATATTTCAAAATTAACAAACTCTCTAAAATATTTCGTAAATCAGATGATATATCAAATTATTAAATAAATAATTATATTATAATATACATTTATTCTCTCTCTCTCTCTCTCTCTCTCTCTCTCTCTCT